TTAAATAGTTCAAAATATTGGAGTAGAAATTTTGTAACTTTGAATGGCGATTGTTGGGGATTTTATTTCCTCTGTTTTATTCGTTGTATATGACAGAAACCTTCATATATTCTTTCGCGAATAGAAATTCATCTATACTGTGACCATATCGCACTCATTGTTTTCCATCCTAATCTGTGATTACACCTTGCTAACTGGTGCTAACAATCACGAAACATAGGGTCCAGGGCATCCTGTAGGCTGCCTCAAACGATCTTCATATATGCTTTGAAAATTACTCGGCTTTTTCTCTGCTTTCTTGTATTTTACTGTGTAGAATTGTGATTCTGTTGTTAAGGTAATAGATTTCAAGGTTGCAAGCAGTTCGTCAGATTAAATTATGTTTCACTAGATGCAGTTGGTATGGGTTTGTGGCGCTTTGTACAACTTTAAAAAGAAGCGAACCAAATGAAAGATCGAATTGAATGAACGTAATGATCTTGATCGACCAATTAGATGAGCTCATATTATTAAGTCGCAGATACACAGATGCAGTACATGAATTACGTTGCAAATTCCACCAAGAGGTAGTATTTGAGTACTGTAGAGATAATAGGCTTATAAGGAAGCTTGTTGATGCGGAGGTGTAATGTCTTTACAGAAGGATGCAGCCTCTCTGGATGGATATGTGTACAGATGTTCAGCCTGTCGTTACAGAAAATCTGTCCGAGAAGATATCCCGTTCCTTTTTTAGCATCATGAATGTTGTAGAGTAGGGAATGGATCACGATATGCAGTTATCTGTATGAATTTATGTACAGAAATAGGTTTGGACTAATCACTGAAGACTCCACTAGAGAAGTAGGAGATTTTCTTGTGACACATACGTAAATTTGTTTTTTAACACTGAATTTGATTTCTATGAAAGAGTTTTTGAAATTACGCGTATTTATTTGGGACTCATCTGATTGGTTGGTCAAGGCCGTTACATCCTTTTGATTCAGTGCTTCGTTTGGATCGCTTATGTTTCGAGTTACTCAACATTTTACACAGCTTCTGAGTCGATAGTAATCTCGAATAGTTGCGCATAATATTTATGAATAGATTCGTTTTGTAAGATTTTCGTTGATTTATTGGCAATTTTGAACAAAGCTAGAATGATAAATTTATCTACATACTATGAGTTCATCATTTATAATTTCGCGAATCCTTTCCAACTGCCTGCATCCTAAAAAACAATATAAATTGACGAATTTCCAGCAATACAACCTTGAACTCTGTATACCGAAAAAATCTACCCAGTCTCTTATTCTACCTTGGTCTTAACCTCTTCACTAGTCGTTCCCTGTAAAAAGTTTTGATTTTTTCCTCGGTTTTTATCATTTTCAATTTTACTTTTATTTTGCTTTTACTTTAATACTTAATTCACTATTATCACCTTCGTATGTTCCTTTTGTACATTTTCACACTTGTTCAATTGACACTCAACTACCTTTATTCTCGTTCAATAGCAATTTTAACCTTATCAAATTTCTAACTTTGTGCCGTTGAATACCAAGCAATTTACAACTTTTAACTTTTACTTCTAAAGCCACTTCCGAGTAATTATATCAACAATATAAATTATTAAAAAAGAGGTTGAACATTGTTTTTTTCGTGCTGATAAGCAGTAATTTATCGGAACTATGAGTGACATAACTTTGGAATGATGTGAATGGTTAAATGGTTATGTTTTAATGGGGTTCAGTATATATACAATAAGTTAACGAATATTCGACAGCGTCGATCGAGAGGTCATTTGGCAACTACTTCGCTACTACCAAGGGGTGCCATCGACAATTAGACATCTCATCCAACGGTTATACAACAATTCTGCATGCTAAGTAATCCACAATGGGAAACTTACGGAAGCCTTCGAAGTGAGGACGGGAGTGAGACAAGGCTGTCTACTATCGCCAATAATCTTCCTGATTGCAATAGATTGGATAATGCGACAGACAACGGGGAATGAGGAAACAGGCATAAAATGGACTTACACAAAAGACTTGGGGGATCTGGACTTCGCCGATGATATATGTCTGATTTCCCACAAACTGGAAGATATGCAAGTGAAAAGCAACAGTCTGGCAGAAGAAACATCCAGAGAAGATAGGACTTCAGGTGAACATAGATAAAACAGAGGTGATGAAGATTCTTAGTCAACACCAACAGCCACAGTGACAACAACAGATAACAATCAGCCAGCATAAATGGGAGGAACCTGAAGGAAATAACCTCCTTCAGCTACCGACCTGGGAAGCATCGTTTCAACTACAGGCGAACGGAACTGAGGAGGATATCAAAGCCAGAATCGGAAAAGCAAGACAAACCTTCATTACTCTTAAGTCTGTGTAGGTCAACAGCAATACTCAGCATCAAAAATAAGATCCGGATTTTCAACTCCAGTGTGAAGTCAGTCAGTGCTACTCACTATACGGATCAGAGACTTGGCGCGTCATAAAGAGCATCTCAAACAAATTTCAGGCCTTCATTAACAGTTGTCCTCGCTCAATACTACTCCATATCAGATCGCTGGCCAGAAGAGATCACCAACAGGGATCTCTGGCAATGAGCAAACCAACCAGGAACCGATTGTGAAACAAATAGGCAAGAAGAAATGGAGTTAGATTGGCTGGCTATACTCTGAGTAAACGAACCATCAAGTGACATCACTAGACAAGCCGTCGAGTGGATCCCGAAGGGGAAGCGGCTATTTGGCCGTCAGTGCAAGGGTGACTCGGAGGAGGTAATGTGAAGAGGAGGTGAAAGCATGTGGGCAGACTTGGAGCGGGGTGAAAAAGTTGGCATATAACCGAAGGCAATGGAGACGCTCAGCTGAAGCCCTATGTTCCCCTAGGAATTAAAAGATATAATAATAATAATAACGAATATTCGTGAAAAAAAAGACAAAGTTCGAAGAATTTGGGTAGAGATAAAGTTCAGTTAAAAAGAATATATAACGATACAATAGGTAACGTAACAACAGAAAAATGTTTTTATAAAATAGCCAACTAGGATTACGATCAGTGATGATGTTTGGGCGAAACAGTAAAGTTTTCTAAACAGAATAGAAGATACAGGAGAATATATGATGGAACAAAAATTGTAGAGCTTTGTTTCAAAAGTTTAATCTTCAAGATAGTACAAGGTTCACCATTGGGTATGTATAGAATTTTTTTAAGTTTTACAACGGCTATTGCTTCAGGAAAACGTAAGAGCGTGGTTTTTTTTACCTGTTGGTCACCTTGATACTGTTCAGACTATCTTTAGGCGACCAGTGTCCAATAGATAACGCATAACTGCACTGTTTAGTGTCTATGAGTCCTTTGGTCACATGTTCTTTGATAGGTATTCAGAGATGTGGTTGTCAACATCCCTCCTCCGTGTATTAACAAGTCCAAAGTTAAAAAACTTGATTTTCCAAGATTTGCATTATTTAAGTATTAGTCATAAAAATATGATAAGCATCTTATTTTTAATTTTATTTCACCTTGGATTTATTCACTAAGTGATATCAGTCAGCAAATTCCTGAAAACCGAAGTCCTCTGGACTGCTGTTTCACTCTGACCAGAGTCATAGGTATACATTGTTAAAGAATCCCAAACGAAAATGATACACTCAACAAGTACTCTTTGATTTTTAAGAATTGTTAAACTGATGTTAGCTCATAGATGTCTAAATGGATTTCAATTCTTGCAAGCTCTAAAAGTGAATATTTTGATGGAATTCAAGATGGGCATTCTAACCGATTTGAGACTCGTCAGTTGGGGGATACCTGCATTTCGATTTGACACTAGTAACTAGTTTGATGCGTCTAGTCCTCTGATTGGTGTAGACTGAATGTAGCTAGAATGGTGGTCACATTACAACCTGACTGATAGAATTCAGTCTACACCAATCAGAGGACTAGACGCGCCACACTAGTTACTAGTGTCAAATCAAAATATCCACTACAGTCCTACAGGAGGTCAATCGCGAGCCCGAATGGGTCAGTGGTAACGTCTCTGACTGTAGCACTGGATGACGTGGGTTTGAATCTCAGAGGAGAGGGACATGACTTCCTTCAAGTTTGCAGATACGCCTTGCTGACGAGTGCCAACTAGCACGAAACTTAGGTCCAAGGCTTCCTGCCGATTGTCTCCAACCATCTAATACCATCAGATACCTGCATTCCCAGTAACTGAGTATGTAAGTGAAGATTTTCCTACTGAAACTCGAATTCACCATTCATCCACTTAGTCACTGGACCACACGGACCACCTTTTGTTCAACTGGTAAGGCACTACGACCCACACTCAACGAAGAAATATCATGTTAACCTTCAGATATCGTTGAAGCGTCCATTCTACGTCTCAAGCATTTCAGTCCATCAAAAATCTCCTAATGGATAATGCAAAAACTTGTAGTCACCGGTAAGCGATATCTGTCACTTATAAGGGACTATTGATATTAGTTGGCCACTTAAACTTCTCCAAGTTGATAATAATAATGACTTTATTCTGAAGAATACAAAATTCTCATCATGTTCTTACTCCCAAGTGTTTTCTCCTTGTGTAGAATATGCCAGTAAATTTTTATAATCGGTAATGCATTATTTAAAATAGCATTGTTGCTATCTAAAGCACATTCCAATAACCCTCAATGCTTTTCCTCCATTTCCTTCCAAAAAAAATCTAAACAGCTTAAGCTTGAGACCTATTTGAAAATAGGCGCGAGAGAACAGATTGCAATTCAGTGACATGACTGGATGATCTAAACAACATGAAGTGGAATGAAATAAAATTAGTTTTAATCGATAGGAAAATCAGGCAGTTCAGTGATTTAAGCAGAGGCCACTAGGTATTTCCTACAAGTAAATAAATTAACTACACTCTTATTATAATAGGAGATTATTAAATTATGCGACTATGCTTTGTAATAAACTTTTGTCAATAATTTCATTTATGTTACAAAGAATTTCTGTTGTTGTTTCTTTTCATAGCTTATTTTTCGAATTCGACATAAAAGACTTCGTTATTGACCAGTGTGCATTGGATATGAATCGATGCAGAGCGACAACACGAGTAAGCAGTTCATCATTTTATATGGTCTATGTATTAGTTCATTCATTCTGGTTATTATATACAGTGATCTATTATTATGTGATTCATTCCTTGCCTTCTGTGTGGAATATACGGCTTCAGGGACACCACTTTCAGATGGCTCCGTGACTTCTTACAACCTTACATTTTCTCTTCACACGATATCCTTTATATCACTTATGATGGGACTCATCAGCGTTCCAATCGACTGCCTGTCTGACATGCAGTGCCATTTGTATATCTCCTCAGGAAATATTCAGTCTGTCTTGATTTCCCCTAGCATATTTGTTGGGCAATAGGTTATTAGCTAGATCGCAACACTGTTAAGGTTCCTTGTTGCTAAATTATCCTTTCTGGTCAACCATTTGATCTTCATTATTGAGCATAGACAGCTATTAAAATGAAGGTCTGCAGCAGCAGTCTGTTGGAAGTGTTTTTGTTGGCGTTCTGTCTAAGTCTCTGAAAAACTGAGAAGCACTCATTGACTTGGCATTAGTGTTGAAGACTAGGATCTTATTCCTCTTTCTCTAAGTACAGTAAAACAGTGTTATTTTCATGACCACATCAACGTGTAACTTCACACCTTTAAAATTTAGTTTTCATAGCTCCTTCATTTATCTTAAAGGTAGCTAGTCGAGTATTTCAGATGCATTGCACACGGGCTAGACGAAGTTCCCACATTACATATTCTGTGTTGACATATTTTGCAATGATTAAGCATTATTTACTAGATAATATTTTGAGCACAGTTTATCAAAGCTTTGATAGGATTATGAGGAATAGGTAATATACTATACTAGTGTGTATTATATCGAATAAATGGTTTAGTCTGCTATAAGAAATCCCTTTGTGGTGTGAATTAACTAACCTCTTATCAAAATTGTATAGAAAAAAGGATGTTCAGTGGAGAGTTACTCTTTTCAGCAACATCATTCCTCAAGCTGTACAATCGCATATATATCGTAAATTGTATGGAGGATTTCATCGTGAGCTGACATCATTTAGAGAACCACTGGAAAACCTGGGAATACTGAACAGCTGTTTAGTCCTAGTTTGAGACTCTTCAGCAGCACGCACCCACCAGTGGATCAATGGTCTGCGAGCTCGCCTTGTAACCTGTCCAGTACTCCCAGGTTTTCCAGTGGTTGTCTAAGTGATGTCAGTTCATGATGAAATCCTCCATACAATCAAACAAAATCCCTACAAAACCAATACTTGAAAATACCGTAAATTGTCTAAGCAATGAAAGGAATATCTCAAGGAGATGTATCATTGTAAGTTCTAGGTGACAAATTGCATAATGTAAAATGCGTTAATCGGGTAGAAACCAAAACAGAATAAGTAAATTGAGCGATGTAATATACATTAACGGGATTGGGTAGAATTCAACTGAAATCGAAAGAGGGGCAATTTAACAACAGGGATAATAAGGGTTAGAAATATAATAGAGGATGAGGGAAGCGAATAATTCAACTAGAAAAAAGAATAGAAACAAAAGTTACGTAATCCGTGTTAAGATAGATCAGGTCCACTGTAGATTTAATGATTGAACAAACTTCTCTACACAGAGTTCGGGGATTTAAACATGTAAATTGCCACTGCTTTTGTGGTTTGTAGAAATTTGATTCGTACTCTTTTAGCAAGATTCCCGCATATTCTCCCTATGACTTTGAAGTTGGTTTGTGGGTTAGCTTGATATCCAGACTGGATCAGGCGTTTCAGGATAGAGCTACCAGGCAGGGGAGGAGGGAAATCTTTTGTCTCCTCACTAAACTATGATGGTAAATGTTCGATGATACGTTTAGAAAGCCAACTTTGATTAGGACAAACATACTTGCCTCCACAGGAGCAGGTAAACTGATAAATACACACTGATGAGACCAACAGTCATAACTTATTCATCACTTACATACGAATCATTGGTTTTGTGGAAGAAGTTAGTTATTTAGGCGTTTATATGTACAGTGTTAATTGCCAACAAATGTGGTCAAAGGTTGTTGTCAGTTGGTAGGAAATATAAATTAAAGTGTACAAGAAGTAGTAATGCATGAAACATAATGACTAATCTTACGTAATCTGGAAGGTGTAAAGTCAAGTGAAGAATAGTTATTTTGAGATAATTTTGAGAAAAAATTGATACAATTCGTATTCCAGTTGATGAACTTGAACAAAACAAGAAGAACAATTGTAGCGCGATAATATGACTTCACATTATTATTATTTCGCTAACTTTTTCTCAACTGTTTGCCACCATAACACTACCAGGGTTTGAACATACTTTCATCACTTTAATTTAGTTGAATTTTTTGATTTTCCCGTCGATTGATTGAACCGAATTGCTCAATCTCAGGTCGACATGTCGGCTTCTTGTGCAGATACTTTGACGATGTTTGGGCATTTAATTAGTATTCAATTGGTGGATGGTGACTAGCAGTGGAATCTAGAATGCGCATTTCGTCCTATTCAGGACTCGTCACCTGGATGTACCTGCATTTCTCAGTGAGTGATGATGTTCCTACCAAGGCTCGAACTCAGTGCCCATAGTTTCGAACGCCAAATTAAATGCCCAGACATCGTCGAAACATCTGCACAAGAAGCTGACATGTCAACCTGAAACCAAGCACTTCGGTCCAATCGATCGACGGGAAAATCAAAAATTCAACTAAATTAATATGATCCGTTCTCAAGAGGTGACTCTTGTGGTCCAAGCCCTCTAATGGATAACACTTTGGCGTTTGAAACAATGGGTACTGGGTTCGAGCCTCGGTGGAAACATCATCACTCACTGAGAAATGCAGGTACATCCAGCTGACCACGAGTCGCAAATAAGACGAAATGCTCATCCTGGATTCCACTGCTAGTTACCATCCACCAATTTAATACTTTCATTACATTGATAGTCAGTTACTGATAGTAATTACAAGTAACATAAATCCAGAATGATGTAAATACTAAAGGGATTTGCCTATTTATGGGAATACTCATGACGGATATTTCCAAAAATAAAAACGTGGAAGTAGTTGAAAATTCTGAGGGATAGAAACACAAAGTGTGTATACCAGCAGAAATAAATTACGTAGAATACAGAGCCAACTTTTATCAAAACACCTAGGAAATAATGAAATTAGGCTTATTTTGTAACGGCAGAAGGCAAGACATGGTAGCGAAAGTATATTTTCTACTGATTAAATCGCTGTTTATATTTATACAGCTTATATACTTTAACCAATCACTGAGCGTGTGATTTTGGCTTATGATAGGACCCAGCATAAGATAGTACATCATTCTTCCTCACGAATCGTGTGATTTATCTTGTGGTGGAGTTACTATGTGAATGTATCATTTCTCACGCATATTGTGTGCGATTTAGTGTGTGTGATCAATTCATCGTCTTTTGTCTCAACTTGGTTTTTGGCGGATCGCCAACCAATGAAAATAGCCATCGCCAACCAAAGAGAACAATCCATTCTCGCGGTTGTGAGCCAACTGTATTGTGATAAATTAAATATTTAAATATGATCTTTTGTTTCCTAATAGATGCACAGTACAATACAATATCTAACAGTCACAGGCCAACCTTTGTCTTTTGACATTTGCGTGGCTCAGTGAATCGGAAGGTACAACGGACAAATAGACGGTATTAGCGTACTAGTCGAATTTATTACTGACAGGTGCACACATAATAGATTAGCGTTGGGTCTGTTCAGTTCAGTTATAACAATTTAGCAACGGAGTTTATATTAAATGACATGAAATAAAATGTTCAAATAGACATTTAGTATTCTTTTGCTAATGCCGGATTGAAATGTCAGAATTATATGAGAATAATATTGCGTTGGAACACATTGTCTGTATCGTACCGCCATAATTATTATCCTGTGTTACATTTGTTGTTTTTGCCTTTCGTTCAACTATATTTGATGGAGAGATGACCAATAAGAGACAGGAGCGATGAGCAGCATTGAAATTAAAAACTTCGTTGAATTTACTATGCAAAAAAGCACGGGAAAATATTTCTGAAGACACATAGTTCAAGTTTTTCCTCATAGTAGATTTCAAAAGCTTCAGCAGTAGCATGCAAAACATGTAAACAACATCGTCTCTGACTGCAGCACTGGATGACGTAGGTTAGAATCCCAGAAGGGACATGAGTCCCTTCAAGTTCGCAGATACGCCTTGCTGACTTGTGAGTGGCGACTAGCACGAAACCTAGTTCCAAGGCCTCCTGTGGTCGATTGCCTCCAACCATCTAATATCGTCTTAATCGATTTGATGATCTTGCCTTACTCTTTTAAAAAAAATAATGATAATCACTTTATTCCAAATAATAATATTTATACAGAATGGAATTTTCAGCGTTTTTATTATGCATATTGCAAAAATTTAGCTCCTTTTATAAATAGGTACATACATAAAATTAAAAAATAATAATAATCATAAAACCAGACAAAAAGCTGAATGTTAGTGGAAACATAATGAATTTATAAATAGATAATATCATAGATAATACGTGTATTAATAATCTTTATTTGTACTTTTCAGTTTATTTGCCGATTTAAAAGTTTATAAGTTCTCTTTTGACATCTGACTCTTCACAGAAAACTCCGTGCTAAACATGGTGGTATGGTAGAATGTTTATGTTTAGTTGTTTTTGTTATTATTATTGTTCCCTTGGGTTCCTAGTGGGACATAGGGCTTCAACTGCACGTCTCCACTTGCCACTGCTGTACTTTTCACCTGCATTCATGCATGTTCGTCCATACTGTTTCTTCTCCTCTTCACACCATCTCCTCCATATCACCCTTGCACTAACGTCCCAATCGCCGCTTTTTTTTCGGCCTGGTTCCACTCGAGCAATGGTTTGACGCGCGCGCGATGTCACCCAGCGGCCTCCTCAGAGAGTGTCCAATCCATCTCCACTTCCTCCTGCATATTTGTTGAGCGACTGGTTGGTTCTTGTTTTGTTTGTTAGTGCCTATAGTTTCGAACAGTAAAGAAGAATAGGCAGAATACGTGAATTGAGTTTTTCCAGAAAGCCACAACCTTTTTTACGTAATAAATCAAACGAAAATTTTTCTTAGAAATCAGGAAATAAAATGACCAACAGAGATTGGAAGAGAAATTGATGCCGAGATGAGAGATATTCATTCGATTTACGCCCTACCAGAGTGCCGTCAATATAACAGGAATCATGTGACTGAATCAGTCCACACAAGTCTTGCTCATCTCTGAAACTAAAATCACTAATATGACATTTAGATGGATTCAGTTTAAGAATATTTAGGTGAGACTGATTGTTAACTTCAGACAAGAATCTATTCATATAAGAACTATTCAATGCAGAAACTACTGGAACAAGAATGGTTAGATCATCTGCGTATTTGATGAAGTTAGCTTTGGAAGAGTATGGAAGGTCATGCAAAAGGAAAGAAAAAAGGAGTGAAAAGAGTATAGCACCTTGAGGCACACCAGTTTCGATTAGCAACGAAGTGGAGCGCTTTCCATTCGAAGCAGTATGTTGTTTTCTATCGAGAGAAAAATAAGGAAACAGCCACCTTGTGATCCAGGTCTTAGTGATTTTGAATGACAATAAGTAATTTTGTGCTCCAGAATTGAGGTGTTGACTGTTCTTCTACGTTCTTTTTTGGATAATCATGCCGGTAGGTGTTAATGAGGTCGTCTAGACAATATCCTGTTGAATTTACACTATAACACATCGATGACGTTTCAATGTTATTTTAATGTAGATCAGTCAGAGATCATTGAAAAGCAGGGAGCACTGGACAGCTATTTTTTGTCTGAGTTTTAGGACTGTTCTGCAGTTCTCATCCACGAACTCAGGACCTTCAGGTTATGAAGCCAAACTGGTAGACCGTTTAACTGCTTGGGCTTGAATACCATGACTTGTGAATCCTAACTCTGTCAATGCTTGATATAGCTCTATCCCTAATCAATGCCTTCAATGAGCATCCACTTCACCTTGGCATTGCGGTGTCAGTTAGTCCCACTTTATTCTGCAATTTTGTGGAAACTTTGTGCGATAATATGAATGAGATTTTATCCAAATTCCTTTTCTTTGTAGAGTCTGCTAATTTGGATTTCTTTAAGTTTCTGTGCTGAGAAAGTTTAACTGTCTCACCGTACTACCTAGAAATATATATTTAATTTCACATTGACTGCATGGTATTATATAAGCTAAATTCGGCGTGAAGAAGTTAAACAAGCCAGGAGTTTTGTCAAATGCTTATTGATTTCATTGGGTGACTGCAAGCCTATATTGCGAATCGACAGAAGTTATAACTTATTATGTATTCTATTCCGACCCACTAACTTTATGGTAAGGTGGTCTTCTCGTAACCTGGCTGTGTGTTCGGTCGTTGGTAGATTAATGGGTAAGCACTTCTGAAGAGTGCCACATTCAAAGTACCTAGTGTTTATATTTCAATGGTGCTCTTACTGATATCAATTCTTGTCAGTAAATCAATTATTCATCCCTTGAGTTTAGGGCGGAACAGCGGGGTTCAGCAACAAATCTCCATGGAATTATGTTGTTCATTGTGGTCTATTTTCAATTTAGCTGCACAGCTCCTCAAAAGCCTTCATTTCCTCTTCATTACATAATCTCCCTCCATGTCATTTCTTAATTGTAGCTATCTTGGAATCCCTAATTATCATTCTAAACGTCAAAGCATTAATCATAACAATAGACATGTGTTGCTTAACTTCATCGGTTGAATGCAAGTAAAACTTCTAGTCACTCGTTTTTGACTTGTATAACAAAGCTATCCAGTCGATTTGTTGTAATATGTATGCTTTTGAGAATGCATATTTAACATACTGTAGTATATGGGAATAGATTTATACTCTTTTTAATGGTTGGGAGCGATCACGAGGATAGCTCGGACCTAGATTTCCTGTTTATTGGTACTCATTAGGCTGATGTGTCTGCAACCTCGAGACAACTGATTCTAAACCGCGTCCCCTAGGGTTACAGTAAGAGACTCTAGGAATGAACTGTTTGAGTCCATAGTTGACCTCGTGGGGAACTGTAATAGACACACTGACTGGTTACCAGGGTATGATAAATGTCATGTATCTAGTTATCTGGCTCTGGAGTTTCTGAATGGCTGTGAGACCTGGCCATTGAGAGTGGAAGACATGAAAAGATTAGCCGTCTTTGATCATAGGCGCCTGCGTTCTATCTCCCATTTGAAGTGGTATAATCGGGTGAGCAATATTGAGGTTAGAGTTCAGTCAAGTGCTAGGTAAGGAGGGAGGGAAAATCAATCGACCAGGCTGTGAAGCTACATCGATCGAGATGGTTAAGACATGTGCCTCCCTAGCCGTCTCCTTCCTCGATGAGCAATGTTAGCTGACATTAGGTCAGGTTGGAAAAGAGACAGTGGTGGTCAAACGAAAACATGGCCTTATCAGTCAACGAAATCCACAACAGTTAGTTTAAATCACGTTGGAATGTGTAGACTTCCTGTTTGGGGTCGTCGGGACGGTGAACATCAATGGCTGGAGATAACTGGTGATATGGCTCAAAATCGTCGTTGTCAATGGCGAAGATGCATCCACTCCTTGTGACTTATAATACTCAATAAAACTATATTGTTCTTCGTTATTACTATTCCTTTGTCTCACACTTCTGTTTACTGTCTCTACTATGCATTTCTTCTACTTTCTTCTTTTGCTTTATGTGCTATAAGGAGGGAGTGTGGCGACTTGAACTGGTGCACATATGTGCAAAGTTCTATGTCGAAAACAGACAGATAGACAGGCAGGAGTTTCTGAGGCTAGCCTCACATTCAATCCTCCTTATTCACAAGACTTACTACCGCCTAAGTCGTATTTATGAGTGCGTCAACTTCGGATCAAAACTTGAATCACCTGTGTTTTTGGCAAGTATTCTGCTATATTGAACCACTGACACGGTATTTAGTAGTGTTGGTATTGATTAAATTCTATCAGTCTACACTCCACAACGATAATTTGTATCATTTATTGTTTATTATTTAATCAATACTGTAAATTAAAAGTTCATTAAGAAAACATTCACCTTTTTTTTCTGTCTCATTATTTTCTGATTACAGTGTGTTTACAAACGATATTACTCATCTCCCTTCAATATGGATAATTATAATTGTGAATGTGCTCCAGGATATTATATTGACAATATCGAGAATGTAAGTCATCTATCTCTGTGTATATCTATATTCATGTTCTCCTTAATAATCGATGATGTATTGTGGTTTCATTGTGAGTGAATGTGTGTTTTAATGTAAAACTTTGCGCAAAAGTGCAGTAATTCAAACCGCCATCTTCTAGTGATGTCTCTCCAAAGCTTTGTATTTTACTAGAAAATGTTATCACTGTTATTCATACAAAACAAACTCCTTGAAGTTTCTAGGTCGACTGACGAAGAGCCCCAAACTAGGCTGAAACGGCTGTCTAGAACTCCCAGGTTTTCCGATGGTTCTCTATTCGATGTCAGGTCATGATGAAATCCTTCAAGCAATCAAACAAAATCTTTTTATGTATGTATACCTACATTTGTTATTTTAATTTTGATTATTTCCCTGAAGAAGTTGGGACCAGTTGGCCGGGTACAGGAAACGTTGGAATTATTACTTTCAACTTCACTGAAATTTATACATAAATGTCTACTTTTCACCCAACATCCAGTTATTTTGTAAATATTTGGTCGAATCTTGATCGGAATACATTTAAAATCTAAGCAAATATTCTAAAGCAGTAATTCATTGCCGTAAGTCAGCATAGACATTTTCAAGAGTTAGCTTGTAAAGATTCGATTTGTTTAAAGTTCGATCACAGATTGATATCATTTAGAATACTAGTGAAAACCAAGGGGTACTGGATATCTATTTCAGCGTAGTTCTCAGCAGTACACACTTGCGACCGTACTACGGTACGAATCCAAGAATTTCAGGGCTATAGGGCAATCTTGCCAATGGCCCATGAGTCTTAACCTTTGTTGGTTCACGAACTGCAGAAGAGGACGAAACAGCTGTCTAGTACTCATTGGTTTTCAGTGGTTCCCTAACTGACATCAATTGGTGATGAGAATTGAAACAATGTAGCTATGGTTTACCGGTAGAACTCTAGCCAACCACACACGTAGTCTGGGTTTCGATCTCTGTCTGACACACTCCTAAACCTCTCTAAACTAGTGGTAAGGCCGGTAAAGACGGATAGTTGAGCTGAAGGCTAGGGACCCCACCCAGTAAAAATGAAGCCCATGTTACCGAAACTTCAAAGCTATAGCCTTAAGCCCTATGTATCCCACTCGGAACGTAAAGGAACAAAATAAAAATAAAAAATCTATCCCTAAATTATGTTTATTCGAAGATTACATCTGACCAAACTGTTATATAAATTCATATCATTAGTATTTCTACTTATAGGTTCATTAAACACGTTATATAGTACAAATTCATGGTCATCATCCCAAGTGCATACCGAATAAGGTTTTAGGAATTACACGATTTAATCATGAGCTGACATTAGTTAGATAACCATTGGAAAACCTGGGAGTACTGGATAGCTGTTTCGTCCTAGTTTGGTACTCTTCATCAGTACGCACCCACAGGGATTCGAATCCAGGACCTTCCGGTTACAAGGCGAGCTAGCTCGTAGACCATTAAGCCACTGGGACCCGATCCAATGGCCCATAAATTCCAACCTCTGTCACTTCACGACATAGCGCGACCGCTAGCCAATGTCTTCGGTGGCGAGTATTTGTCCTCACACCCGACCTGCTGCACCTTACTGGTCATGACTTCTCACTAGAAAGGTTTTAGGAAATTAGTTCACTGGATATATGATACAATTTGTTCAATTTGCATTTATGTGAATACGGAGTAAACGTGGCTTATTGTCTGAAGCACTCAATTTTCAGTCAAGGGGGTTCTGGGGATTGAAATCTCATTGGACTTATATCAATCGGGGCTGTAACTGAATAGTATCATCAGTCACTAACCATTATAATTGTGGCTCATAACCTGGGACATCAAAGTTATGTTCTAAGAAATGAGTTCGAATAACCCCGTGTAAACAGATTAACACCTGGAAATTTCTGCCTCATCTCAGAGAATATCATCATTAGAAAGCAAACAAGGGTAAATGGCAATAACATATATTGGTTCATGCCGCAGCTGGGCATTATCAGTAGTATTTGCAGTGAATTGATGATATAGTCTAAAACTGAGTCCAGCGAAGAGGCGAATTCATTTTTCTCTTTAGCTGTACAATCGAATATACATACAATTCTATCTCTTCTAGAAATGGATAGTTAGAAAAAGATATGAATCACTACCATAAGAATAGTTGCTGATATTAAATCAATAATACATATGAAAGGTTGAATGAGTTGTAATCAGAGAGCACAATGAAATAAAGGAAATTTTATACATAACCTAAGCGTTGAGGAGGGTAGATGAGCCAGCAAGGGTCAGAGAAATAAAATAAAGTAAAAAAGTTAGGTTGAAAATAATACAATCCTCATCATAATAATAATAGAAGTGGATGAAAAATTTCCCCTTTGTTTGCATATCTGTTTTCCTCTTTACTTGGATGAGCGGATTTATATAAAATCTTTTTTTTCACATAACTAATGAGTTGTCATAGTCATAGTTGTTAATATCAATCAGTATATGAGAGAAGTTGGATAAGGACAATAGAGTTACTCATTATGACAAACAATTTAATGAATAATTCAATTTTAGATTTTCCCGTCGATTGATTGGACTGAAGTGCTCGGTCTCAAGTTAACATGTCGGCTCCTTGTGCAGATGCTTCGACGATAACTGGGCATGTAACTTGATGTCAGTCAGTGGATAGTGACTAGCAGTGGAATCCAGCATGCGCACTTCGTCCTATTTGGGACTCATTAACTGGGTGCACCTGCATTCCTCAGTGAGTGATGATGTTCCCACCGAGGCTCGAACCCAGTACCCATTGTTTCAAACGCCAAAGGGCTATCTATTAGAGAACTTGGGCCACGAGAGCCACCTCTTGTGCAACAGGTCTCACTAATTATTTAATCTAATTTTAGAAGGAAGGAAATGTGGTATTATGTGAGAGTTCGAAGGAAATACAGGAGTTAGGAGTTAGAAAAAGACAAACAGGTCAAAAATCTAGTTAGTGGAAATCAGGTTGTTCTTTACTTTGTAGATTACTTTGAAGGAGGAGTTTGTTGACATGTTTTTTCATGAATAATCCTCATCCAGGCATTAATGACAAAAAAACATGTAATTCAGCGAAGAGTCTCTTTTCGGTGAATTCATTTCCTCAGCTGTGCAATCGCAAATATTTATGAGTTATTTTGTATGCATGTGTACACTAAGTTTGTCTAACAAAAAATCGATTGTTTATGGTTATTTTCAAGTATTGTAGGGATTTTGTTTGATTGCATAGAGGATTTCATCGTGAGCCGATATCAATTAGGGAACCACTGAAAAACCTGAGAGTACTGGAAAGCTGTTATATAACATTTCCCATCGATTCTATGTACATCCTGATTATAACTTATTCAACCGAATTATTCACCTTATTACGTAACTCTTTTTTTCCCTCACGTTCCCCAGTGGAACATAGGGTCTGAAGCTAGCGGCTTGAAGTTTCTGTAGCAGTGTTTAATTTTACAGGTTGCGGTTGCTAGCCTCATGCCCACCCTTTCCTCTTTACCAGAATTGAAAAAAAAATAATTTCTGGCTTAGCGAGGTAAAGGAGTGAGTCGTCCGGTGATCGAACCCCGAACCATGTGCTTGGTCGGCGAGCGTCTTAACCGCTATGCCACCGACGCACACGTAACTTTAATACTCTTATTCAACTCTTCTTATGCATTGATTAACTCATAAATGACAAAAGCTACATTGATATTAATAGCAATCCCTTCAAAACCCTCATAATCTAATTCGGATTGTGACAAAAACACTACCTTTGTTACTATCCCCTCTGTCAAGGAACTTAATCCTAAGGTACTATTATTTCCTAAGACGCTCTGAATTGACAACCACTGAGCGCAGATATCGACTTTAATTCCAAAACACAATCAATATTTTGTACTAAGTATATAAAGAAATGTTTTACAAGGAATGTATTGTACTTTCATTCGTATCCTTTCGTCTTATTCTAACTTGTTCACGATCGGATCACTCGCGCCTTCAAGTTGCCCGCCAATGGCGAACAAAGCCAATAAACAAACGTTCAATGTTTATAGTCATTGACACCCTCTTTTGTGGAGAAATTGTAAAAATAGATGTGATTGTACAGTTAAACAGGAAAATGCATTCACCGAGAAGAGTTTCTCTCTCATCGCTGAACTACACTTGTTTGTTTTATTCTTTTCAAAAGTTGAGTCTAGCAAGTCAACCAACTGGACTAGTAAAATTTGGAGCCTGTGGGTTTTGAATCCACGCATGAATCAGATGGATTTTCATTTCATTATGGATCAGGACAACTGACAAGTCTGTGAATTGGTCTACTGACGGATAGAAAGTATAACTAATGTAATCGGTGTGTCCTTGGTGCCAGGTGTCCTAAGTGAGCATTCGTCAGCTGTAGAGGGTTCAATTCACATCTGACACTCTCCCATAGCTCGCTTAGTGTGACTATCTGGGAACAAATGGACGTGTGTTTATCAACTTAACAATCCACAATTTCACCACTACTAGTGGAACTTCAAGAAGCTTGAAACAGACTTAATGACAAAAGGAAGTCAAAACAAACCAAGGGAGAATTGACTAGTTGGTCTAGAAACCCCACTGACTTTGTTTTTTATGAATAATAGTGATGACTTTTTCTAATAAAATACAAAGATTTGGAGAAAGATCATCAGAGGATGACGACTTAAAGAGATATCCGGGTGATGTCACTAGGCAGTCAGGTCTAGTAGTGATTATCGGAAATGGGGAATTGTAGGTCAGTGAATTGCAATCTAGTCACCTGATAGTAACGTTCTATTTGACACAACATATTGGTTCAAGAAGAAGTGGTGCATCAGTATATACAAAAAGTGACGCTACTCTATCTTGAACATTGAAATCATAAAGCATTGTTTTACTCTATATTATACATGTGTGTTTTGAATTAGAATAACAAAGTGATGAATGCACTTATTTGAGCTCATTAAAACAACAACAATAATAATAACTATTGAATAATC